CCCGTGCTCGGTGTCGCGTCGTACCCTCAGATCCTGCCTGTGTGTTCCAGTTAGTGTTTTCATGTTTGGTTTCTGTTTTGTTGGTGCCAGCAATAAAGCTGTGGTTTTCAGTTATATTTCCGTCTCAGAGTCCTGCACTTGGATCCACATCTCCACCTGCCCGCACACAGAGCCCCGACAGAAATGGCTGCTGGCTCCTTTGCTTGTATTTTTGCTCACTGTGTGTTTCCCTGTGTACAGACCTTCCCTGGAATCCCTTACTGGAGTGTGGTTTTGGATGCCTGTTCTCGCTGACCCCTGGAGCCAATCCCCGCCTGCACGTTGCATGTAGCACATAGTTGGTGATCACTTTAAACACATTGTGCGTTTATTCTGTCCTGCTCTTGAGTCCACTTCAGTTTTTGTGACAAAATCAGATAGAAGTACGAATTTGGGTAACGCTTTCTAATAATGTCACACTATTAGTATCAGTTAGGTATTGATCTGTAGAAATCTGTAGAAATCTGTAGAAATTGTCATTTATAAATAAATATATGTTTATCCATCTATTACTGTTACACCGTCACTATCACTGCTGTACACTGCTACTAAATTATTGCTAGTAATAATAATAATTATAATAACATATCTGTATTTATAAGTTTCATAGGAGGAGTAATTCTATATAAATAATAACTTACTAATACCTGATTAATGCTTAATAGATTTGACATTATTAAAAATTTAATTTGAATTGGTCTATTGCATGTTGTTTGCGCTGCACCTTGACACCGTCACTGTAAAGTCTGTAAATGCATATGTGCATATGAGTTAAGATGAATTCAGTAAGATTTTGTACAGCTGCTAAGCCAACTTTAATCACAGTGGTTCTCGAGCACAATAATAAACAGCAGAATCTTCAGTCTTCAGACTGTTCATCTGCAGAGACACCTGCTGCCTGCTGTCGTCTCTGGAGATGGTGAACCGGCCTTGAACTGCCTGAGCATAGTAACTGTTGCCATTGTCATTTCTGACAGTGGAGACCCACTCCGGCCCTTTTCCAGGAGCCTGTCTGACCCAGGCCATCCAATAGCTGCTGAATGTGAATCCAGAGGCTGTACATGTCAACCTGTGAGATTCTCCCGGCTGTTTTACTGCTGGATCAGACTCAGTCAGAGTCTGACCAAAAACACCTGTGAAAAGAAAACAAAAAAAGATGAAAAAGGGATAGTCAATTTACACTATCAGTAAAAACTAAGAGCTATTACCCAAAGACCTTCACCTTCACAACACAGAGTTAGAAACAGCAGCCCTATTCTACAGTCCATCATGTTAAACCTAATGTCCACTGCTCTCTGTGGCCCATTGCAGTCAGAGAAGTAAAGGTGAAGGGCACCTTTGTTTTGCATTGGCTCCTCCTTGAAGGAAGGACATAACTAATGTGAAACCAGTAAAAAATTCCCATACTGTGTGTTTATAATGGAATTAAATATTAGAAAATGACTCAATGAATACTATCCTTTCACTCCTCAGTTACACAAGTAAGCAACAAATACAGCAATCTAGTAATCATAGTGAAAAAA